ACTCTGCTGTGGCCTCCCCCAAGACTCAGGGATCCCCACTGCCCATAGGGAACCCTGGTCCCTTTAAACTCCTGCCCTGCCTCTTCCACTCCTCACTTGCTGCCCACACCAGCCCTGTGGCTAAGAGTACAACACCTCAGCTTCCCTCTCTGGTCAGTGCTGCCCAGACCCACTCACTGTCCATCTGGCTCCCCATGGTGGACCGAGGCTGAGGACCTCACAGGACACTGGGTTCCTCAGCACAGTCCATGCCCACTGCCCGCCTGGCTCCCTGCGGTTGACTGAAACTGGGGACCTCACTGGACATAGGGTTCCCCAGCCCAGTCAATGTCCTGCTGTCCACCTAGCTCCTTGGGGTGGACTGAGGTTGAGGACCTCACGGAACACTGGGTTCCCCAGAACGGTCCATGCCCCACTGTCCACCTGACTCCCTGTGGTGGACTTGATACAAGGGAACTCACGAGACACAGGATTCCCCAGCACGGTCAATGCCTTGCAGTCCACCTGGCTCCCAGGGGTGGACTGAGGCTGAGGATCTCACAGGACACTGGGTTCATCAGCACAGTCCATGCCTCACTGCCTGCCTGCCTGCGGTGGATTGAAGCTGGGGACCTCACGGGACACAGGGTTCCCCAGCACGGTCCATGCCCCACTGTCCACCTGGCTCCCTGGGGTGAACTGAGGCTGAGAATCTCACAGGACACTGGGTTCCCCAGCATAGTCCATGCCCTGCTGCCTGGCCAGCTCACCTTCTTCGCCCATGTACTGCCCTGCATGCTCCACGTCCAGTGAGGACCTGGATGCAATCCCCTTTCCTGGCCTTGGTAACCAGCCTCATGCAGCATAACTGCCCACCCTTGACTACTCACCTCACTCCCACCTCAACTCTCTGCTAAGTCACACCCCTGCTGGTGGTACTGCCTAGACATTTAGATTTAAACTAACACTAAATTAAAAATCTGGGTACCAGCAGTCAGGAGATCAGGAGATGTGTTTCATTGTGCAAGTCTACATGCAGTCAAGAACCTCTCCAAAATACTGAAGTGCAATGCTGTAAGTTTGAAGAGTAAGGTGCACCTCTTTCAGGCCATGGTCTTCTCAATCACTTGCTGTGCATCTGAGAGCTGGACAGTGAATAAGGATGACAGAAAAAGAATTGATGCCTTTGAGCTATGGTGTTGGAGAACAGTATGAATAAGACTGCTCGTTGGAGACAATGATAACAAAAAAGATCTCACATATTTTTGGCATGTTGCTAGGAGAGACTATTCCTTAGAAAAGTCATGCTTGGAAAGGTGGAGGGATGAGGAAATAAGGACCCTTGATGAGCTGGATTGACACAGTAACTGCAGCAGTGGGCTCAAGTGTGTCAGAGATGAGATGGTAGAGGATAGGACAGGGTCCACTGTTGTTCATGGAGTCGCTATGAGTCATACTCGACGGCCTCTAAAAACAACCAGTCCAGAGGTCCTGCGACCACATGATCAAGAGAGTGACCACAGAGGGATGTGTATCCTTGGGGTCCTAGGAGGGGGAAAGACGGTGGGGTGAACCACTCTCCTGTGCATCCCAGGGTCCCTATGAGGCATCTGCTTTGTAGAAGAACAGAGCCCACAAACCCAAAGAAAACAGGGTGTTTGAAGAGTATTCTTATACAGAAAATAGGGTGGGCTGGATTGGGGCATTCAAACCAGAGAAGAAAGCACACTGACAGATAAAGGACCCCTTTCTACACACACACAAAGCTGCTGTGGAGTAGACCCTGCCTCACAGAAACCTCACGGACATGGGACAGATGCAGCTGGACCTGTGGATCCCACATACTTGCTGGGATGCTAGAGTCCAGCCTCAAGGTCACTGAGAATCCACCTTCTCCAAGGTCTCCCTGGACCTTATTGGGATGTTGGGGTCCACCTCGTGTTCACCGTGCATCCACCTCAGCCAGGGCCTCCCTAGGTCTTGCTACGATGCTGAGGTCCACTCTGGTAACTGCTGTGTGCCCCCTCACCCAGGTCTCCTGGAGCCTTTCTAGACACTGGGGTCCACCTCATGCTCACTGTACAACCACCTCATCCACACTCTCCCTGGGTTTTGCTTCACTAGCACATCAGCCTTGCCACCCTGTGGGCAAGCCGGGTGTCAGCCTGTGTGGACAGAAGGAATGTGTACCCCTGGAAGAGGTATTTCTTAGTTTTTCCTCCTAGTCTGCCTTCATTTGGACACTCAGTGGAAACCTGCCATCCATGGGTGACCCCGCTGACATGGCTTCCATCATCTCAGCAGCATGCAGGCCAACCCAGCATGAATGACCAACAGACAGACAGATGGGATGACCAGCGAGCGTGAGGCAGGACCAAAGTCAGACACCCACGCAGCCCATCTCCTCACCTGTGGCTCGGGTGCTGACAGCCCAAGCCATCTGCATCTCAGAGGTTGCTGGGTCCTCCTCCCATCCTGAGGCCATGTTCAGGTTGTTGTGGTTTGGTGTCACTGAGTCAAGTACAACCCACAGTGACCCTGTGAACAACAGATCTGAACCCTGTCCTGTCTTGTGTTGTCCTCGTCATCTGACACACTTGAGCCTGTTGCTGCAGTCACTCTCTCAGTCTAGCTTGCTGAGGATTTTCCTCTTTTTTGCCAACCCTCCACCTTCCCAAGCACAAGGTCGCTCTCCAAGGAACAGCCTCTCTTGATAATATGCTCAAAGTTTGGAGAAAGTGAAGCCAGAGAAATCCTTGGATGGCAAAAGTTTATCTCATATACTTTGGCCTGCTTCTTCATAGAGTCTATTGAATAATTCGCCCAGCATACAGACTGGATAGGTATGGAGAAATGCTTCTTTGAACAACTTCTTGGTCTAGGTATAGATTCTGTATGAGCAAAATTAAGTGTTCTGGGATTCCCGTTTTACTCAATGTTATGAGCCACACAGTCAAATACCTTGGCATAGTCGATAAAACACAAATATTCTTCTGACATTCTCTGCTTTAGGTCAAGCTACACATGACCTCAGCAGGGGTACCCCTCCACACCAGGTCTTATACTTAAGGTTGCAAGGTGGAGCCCAACCCATCTGAGAGGGTCAGAGGCTGCACCACGGCAAGCGCAGGTGCCAGGAGCAGCCTGCAGAGGGGGCCAGCAAGCCATGACCAGGTGGGAAGGCCCAGGGTGCCTGCCCAGGGCTCCCCCAGCGCACCCCTATTACAAGTGTGCCTTCTTTATACCCCCTCCAGATACATCCCATTTTACCGCTGAGGACGCAATGAAGGAGGCTAGGAAGGATCTTCGAACCTCAGCCCCGGCTCTGTGCTCCGGCCTGGACTTGGTGGTGCTGAGGGGTGTAGTGGGCTCCTTTATACGGTGTGGGGGTGCTGGATGTCCATGGTACTGGATGGAACCATCAGAGGCAATGTCACCAAAGAATTAAAAATTTCAGCAGGAATTTATGATTTAAAAAAATACCTCTGGGAGAGTTTATGCACATAAACCTTCCTGAGAGGCTAAAACTGTGACAATTCCCTTTTTGAACCTTCTACCATGCTGGGCCTGATCCCCGGTCACAGCCATGCTTGGCACCACGTGACTGGCTGCATATGGACAAGCACCTGCTAGCTCACAGACGGGCATTTTCAGTCTCTGATTTTTGTCAATTTTTCTGGTGTTTTAGCTACAATATTGTGGTAATTAAGATTTGTGAACCTCCACCAACAACTTTTTTAAAAATGAAGTTTTGATTAAAAGAAGAAAAAAATTAAAAGGCTTCTGCTATTAATGATGTCCAGTGAAGAAAGATTTCTAAGATAGTTCTGTTGTGCTCATGTACTCTAGAAGCATTGCATTTAGGCAATTGACAGCCACATCACTTATTAATCTGAGATTGAAATTATTAACAAGCATGTTACTAAGAACTCGCTGTGGCCAGGTGGGGGGGGGAGGACTGCTGCTCTGCTGGACTCTGGTCCTCGTGACAATTCCTGGGAGGGCAGGTGACACTCTCTCGCGCCACTGACCAGGAAACTGAGGCACAGGCACGGGGGAGGGCGAGGGGAAAAGACAGGCCGACCCGGGGTCAGTTCTGAGAGGCCAGGCCCTATTTTTCTTCTGCTCATTCGGCAGGCTGGCCAGCGTGGGAATTCTCACTTCGCTCTCCTCCAGCCCTCTCTGCCTCTCATCTTTCTTGCGGTCCATGAAAGGCTTTGTCTCCTGCTCGCTCCGGACCATCCCAACTTCCGCTCGGCTCCGCACTGGCCACGTCGGGGTTGGTCATCCCCCGAAATTCCACTGCTCCACGCTCAGAAGAGGTAGGGGGAAGGGGGGGCAGGGAGAGAGGCCCAAGGGGGGAGTAGGGGTTGGTGACCTGGGCCAAGAGCACAGAGCCCGTGACGATCCCGCGAAGGGCTGTCACTCATCCCGGCCCACCACTGGGGACAGCTCTGCCGGGCCTCTCTGATGCGTGCCCCCACCCCGAAAATCGTCCTCGAAGTCTCTGAAGATCCCGGCTGGAGGGACAGAAGGTCCAGGAGTTCCTTTGAGTGGGACCGTTCCTTAAGACTAGCCAGACCAGCTGCACTTTAAAGGGCGGTAGTGGACCAGGAAGGGTCCGCCTGGCTACTTCCGCGCGGCAGGGTGGCAGGAGGACTGCTCCCGGGTGTGTGTCCACCAGCGCCCCGCACCCCTCCCCGCGCCCCTGAACGCCTGCGCGGCCCC